ATAAAAGCAAGTAGACAATAAAATTTTTACTGCAAGAACTACTTCTCATGAGGTGCAGCATCCTTAAAAACCAGATGATACAAAATAATGTTATTTGTGGAAATTTTTAACCCATTAATTAACTTTGTCTCAGGTTCCACTAACTGCACCTTACTTCCTGCATTGGCAACAGCTGTCGCCAGTGGATAGCTCTGGGTTTGTAATTTCAATATTTTGTATTTAGTAGCACAAGATTGCATTGGTATAAGCAGATTAACATCATTATTTTAGAAACATCTAATGCTATTCTGATAAGGGATGTTTGAAAGACCACAGTAAAGATGAAGAGAAGACACTAAACTTAATGATGAAAATCTACTTTTCTAATATTACATAACCTTAAAAAAATCAAATAAATGAAAAGGTTTTTCTATTAGAGCTAAATGTGCTGTGTTTAACCCAGTTTTTAATAACAGCAACTGTTTTATAGCTCTTTACTATGTGGAAGACATTGTTCTAAATGCTTAATATATGATAAGTCTTTGGATCCTCCCAAAAAATCCTGTGAGGTAAGTACCATTAATATTAACATATCATTGTGCAAATAAAGACAAAAAGAATAAATAATGTACCATGCCAACTATATCATTATTAGTGCAGAGCTGGAACTTGAATCCAGGTAGCCTGGTTTCAAAGGTCATGATGATAACTATGCAATACTCCTCAAGTCTGTTCTAAGATATCACTTGTTGAATGCATCTCATATTATCAAAATCATTTAATTGTACTCTAGACTGTGTAACAAAATGAAGTTTTAAATTTTAAAATATAAATTCTAGCAATTTAATTTTTTTACAATTTCAATGTATGTTTGATATACTTTATTTAAACTATAAGGAAACTACTTATACCATAGAGAGCAAGAGAGAGCGAGAGAGAGCAAGCGAGCAAGAGATGATTAGGGGCTGTTATGGGCATTTAATATTATTTGGTAAACCTCAAGGATGCTAAACGTTCTGCTTTTGAAGGACAGACCACATGGCAAAGAACTGCCTTGCCCAAAATGCCAAGAGTGCCCTGTTGAGACTGAATTTCTATATACCTTTCTTTAATTAAGGTTTATATTTTCGGAAGTAATCTGGTTCATTTTATGGGAAAACTAGCATAGAAAAAATTATTATAAGATACATTGACATTTAGGAATATGTGATATATTACAATAAAGACTATAAAAAAAGAACGTAGAAATATTAAATCATTCCAACTTATTGTGAATTAGAAAGTAGTTCAGAAAGGAGTGAGCTGACCCATCAAGCTTGTTCACTATGCACTCTAATAGAATATATTTGAAGTAATAATCTCCATCAATGACTTGACTTCATTTCAGATTAAAATTGCCATTTTAATAGCTTCAACCCATATTCATGTATACCTGTGCATACTGAGAGTCAGAGTGAACTGTCATAAATGCTGAATTACTTTAGTCTGCAGAGGCTATTATTTATTTTAGCATTAAAAAATAGGCAATGATGTGTAGCACAATATAGTCGGGAAAAGACTTTTCAGTCAAACACTGAGGTTAAAGGCAGATTTTACTCTTTTCTTTTTTATTATTTTTAGTTGTAGGTGGACACAATATCTTTATTTTACTTATTTATTTATTTATATGTGGTGCTGAGGATAGAACCCAGTGCCTCACATGTGCAAGGCAAACACTACACTGCTGAGCCCCAGCCCCAGCCCATATTTTACTATTTTCTAAAATAAAGTTGCTTAATTTGCTAAGCCTCCATTTGTTGTTGCCTCTGAAAATAAGGATGTTATTGCCCCCTGTTCTAGCTACCACATAAAGCTGAGCAAGGGCTGAACTTTGAATTTGTTGTATAAACAATTTATATGCTACAACATGATATTAATACTTCCACTCCTAATGGTACAATAATACAGCATCAGATTCTTTACATCAAGGGATAGTAGAGGAGAAAGAGGAGAAATTTCATTACTTTTTCTTACTTCTTGATCATGACTCCTGAATATCTTTGGCAAAATTAAGCAAAGGAAAATAACACCATCTACATATCAATTAAGTAACCAAGTGAGAAAAGTTAATGTCCTTTGTCATGCTTTATAGTGTTCTTAATGAGCTACATTAAACAATTATGGTGCTAAAGAAATAGCACCTCTGTGTTTGGGGCCTGTGAAAGACTCTTTCAGGATTCCTCCTGGGGAGAAAAGGTCATAGTCACAGGGCCTACTGGGCTCTGGGCCCTCCCAGCAAGTTTGGTTTTGTTCAGATAGGAAGTTCAGACAGTGGCAGCCAGAGAATTTGGACTTTGTGGTAGGTACTCCAACATACTGTGTAGCAACTGATTAATTCTAAAGGCCTATCAGCTTACTTTCAGACAACAAAGAAAATTTCCTAATCTTTAAATTTCAGTTTTACTCAGATGTTTGGAAAAATTCTTTCTCTAATATTATTTCAGCTCTAACATTATTTTTACAAACTTTAAAAAATTGTGTTTTGCCTCTGTTATCTGAGAGCTCACATGCACAGAAGGTGGTTTTCTTTTACAACACTACAGTTTATCTTTTAGATGCTCTTACATTGCTCACAAGTTAAAAAATCCTTCCCATAAAGAATGGTCACAGTATTGGATAATTTTTGAGTTTTCATTCTGGTTAAGTACCAAATTTATATGTATGTATCAATGATATGTAGATCCATCGATCCATCCATCTACCTACCTACCTACATACCTACCTACCTACCTACCTACCTATCTTATCTTTCACCTCTGCAATATCTCTGTGTACCTTTCCCCAAACATTACTAAATATTAGTGTAATGGGGACTTAGACTCTTCATTTGGGTCTGCAAATGTAATGTCCAATGGGTAACTAAAAGCAGGATTAAAATCTTGACATCTCCACCTCCACTTTGCATCTGTCTCCTTTGCTCTGAGTCACCTTGGATTCCAGGAACAATAGGTCTGATCCTTAAACATCCTGTGATGAGTTGAAATTACCCTCAGATAATAGCAATGTTAAGGCCCTGCATGAACAGTCCTGAGATGATGGGCAACCAAATCCCTGTTTGGCCAAGCCTGCAGGATGATGCATATTTCTGGTTCTCTTCATCTATATAATCTGGAAGCTCATGTCAGTATCCTTAAAGTCAGAGTTGAGGATATGGGTGCCCTTGTTTTCCTGGTATAGCTACAACGATTAAAGCTCCCTTCCTTCTCTTAACTATTACTTTTTCCATTTGTTTTTTGGGGTGAGTGGCTGGACCTGATTTGTTGGGACTCCAGTGTAGGACCTCTGGCATAGGATTCTGGTAACACTAGAGATTCTAAGACATAGTCTTTGATTTTAGGGAGAAACTATAAGAAGAACAGAAAACCAGGCAAAGGCCCAAACTACCCTTTTAGGACACATTATAAAATGAATCTTCACTTAGACACAGTTTGGATCCTATCTCCTCTGTGTTCATAGGAAGAACTGATATTCTCAAATGCAGTACTTCCTACATTCTGGATCCTACTACTTTTCTGGTTTTGTTTTCTCCGCAGCACCTTATATATTGCAAGCATTCAAAAAAAAAAAAAAAACAGAATGAAGCTTCAAATCTCATCATATTTTTCAAGTTTGGAATCTTAATAAGCTCTTTACATAAGATCAGAGGACACTTTCATCATGGAGAAGTAAGTCAGTCTAAAGTCTATCATTTTTTTAGACTCTGAGAAGTGATTTGCTCAGCTAGTGGTAGAACTGGGATACAAACTAGGTGCTGGCCTTCTGCTCCAGAACCTCTTGTGATGGGTAAGGAGGCAAGCCTGCTAGTCTGTTAAAACATGTGTCAGTGTCCAGATGTGCTAAGGTGGAGAGAGTGACTCCCCAGATAGAAGCTATTGGTACAATAGCCCATTCTTGGATGTAGGAAAATCACTTCAAAGGAGCAGAGGAACAGAAATGAGGGTTATATTTTAGATGTGAATGGAGCTTTCTGGAAACTAAACAAGGTAGTAAAACTATGTGTGAGAGGGTGATAGGATGGGAAATTAGATCCTCAGGCCAGTGTTGGTTACAAGGGTTAACTTCTAGGGACATTCTTCCGCAGGAGCTTCCCTCAGGGAGCCCTCTTAATCCACCACTAGCCCCAAGGATTGGTCTTCAGCTTTGCTTCTCATTGTAATGATCTTCTGCATAGAAGATGCACAGGGCATTAGGTAACCAGATACAGTCCTAAGTATTGCTTCCTTAGCTCATTCATAGAGCAGGCAGGGTGGTCTTTCAGGTCCTTATGTAAGTGAGATAAGGAAATCAAAATTTAAAAAATAATTCTTATTTTGGATACTCCCCCCAGAAAAGTTAGGATGTCTATAACAAATGGAGAGTTTGATGACTTTAAATGAGATTATATTTCAGAAGAAAGCCCAGATTTAGGCTATTATTCAAATTTCCTCCTAAAAACTAGGATGACATTCTGAAGGGGAGGAGGTGATGACTGTCTTGAGGTAGAGGGAAGGAGATGACTGGGAAGCAGGGATGTCACTGGCTGTAGTATTCCAAGGTTAGGAACTGGTGGTCAGGGAGCGGTTCAGATACAGAGGTCTCCCTACACTTCTCGCTAATGGGGATTTGGAGAGAGAAGTCAGGGTGACGGTACAAGCCCCTACAGAATATATATAAGAAGAAAGGAAATAGAGAAAGGAAGACTTAAAAAAATAAACCTGAAAGAGCAAATACAAAAGAACTGCTAAAGGTAAGCACAAATATAAAATATATAAAAGCCAAATAATTAAAAATAAAAACTGTACTGCTAATATGCTATGAAAACAAAACAAAACAAAAACTACAAACACTGCCCCCTCTCCCAAATCCAAAAAGCTGCCTTGTTTCTTAATTTTGCTCCACTGTGGCTAGTTCTGCCAAGGGCAGTCAAATCTTAATGGCACTAGATAGACTATTTCAGTGGCAAAATGTAAACAGAAGATTAGAAAAAAGACGGTTAGGCTTACATCTTGTCCATTAAGGCCAGCCAGTCCTGGGTCTCCTTTTGCTCCTTGTTCACCCTAGAAAGAAACAATTTATACAGTGAAAATGTTACATCCTTTGCTAAGAAAAAACTGGAGAGTTACATTATTTGGATATTTATAACCAACGAGTAGTTTGTTAATCCCTTAAAAGAAACATTTATTCAATAACAATCTAGGTTCTAAAACCAAAAAGAAGTTTAAAGGTTCAAAGAAAAGCTGAAAAAAAAAATGATGAAAGAGTGGAACTAGAACAAGATTTATTTATGTTCCTCTATAAGGGACAGAACTTTTTGGAGGGTAATTTGGCAGTATGTATCAAGAATTTTTAAGCACTTCTGAGTGAAGTGCTTTCACTTTTAAGAATGAATCCAAAAGAAGAATCAGAGGTGAAAAGTTTAAGGCACTAATACATAGGGCACCATCATATTTATTAGGAAAAAAAGAAAAGTATCCTAAATGTCCAATAAAGAGAACTGATTAAATGAATTATGGTATATATATATATATATATATATATACATACACACACACACACACACACATACAAGAGACAGACCATAATACAGCCATTAAAATCATGCTTAGAAATTTTATAAGAAAATTCTTGTGGTATAAAAAGTAAAATTTAATTAATCAATAGAAAAATTTAGTGAATAAATGTTAACCATACCTATTTTTATTATTTTAAAGTTATAAATATTCAAAATGGCTACTAATGCCATTGTGGATGATACATGCCTTTATTGATTTTTATGTTTTAACTTGGTTTCTGTCTGAAAGGTGTACACATTTATTGGCACACTCTGCATATCTGGAGAACATTTAAAGTTCTTAGAAAATACCTGTCTGCCTATCCATATATCTATTCACCAGTATATCTGTCTATCTATAGATCTTAAAAATAATATTGAGAAAATACAAGCCTAAAAATAAAAGTAGTTTAATATCTTAAAATTTCTTTTTAGCTATAAACATATATTATCTGCACAGTCAGTAAATATTTAAAAATAAAATATTATATATATAAAGGAGTCAACTAAGTCTATTATACTGTGTATGGGTGTGCATGAATATACATGCTTTATGCTGCTAAGGTAATTTTTATTCTCTCTTTTATACTTTCTGTTTTTCTTTTGCATTGAACATTATTATTGCTACTTGCAAAATGTTATCAAAAAGCAAGTATCCCATTTTAAGAAAGAAAGCTTCAGATACCGAAACACTCTACAGAAATATGTGTGCATAGTCCCAATCACCTAAGAACATGTATAATTATTATAATATTGACAATACAAGAAAAGAAGTAAAAATAACTTGATCAACAGAATATAAGAATATATATGCCTAAACACATATATGACAAAATTATACAAATCATGTTCATTGAAATAGTTACAATGAAGCTAATAAGTTAGATTTGAAAACACAGGACCCAGGAGTTACTTTAGAGTTGTACCACCAGCAATGTGTAGCTATTTAAATTGATTAAATAAAAAAGTTAAAACTCAGTTCCTCAACTCTCCTAGCCATATTTCAGGAGACACGACAGTGCTGACCCCATTGAACTGTGCAGATTAGGACATTTCCATCTTCACAGAAAATTCCACTGAATAGTCGTGATGAAGAGGGTATCATTTAGGACCAAAAGCTGTTGGTAGAGATCAGTGGAAAAGTGTTTGTTTGCCTAGCATGCATGAGGCCTTGGGTTCAACACCCAGGGTTCAACACCTCAAAAATGAAACAAAACAGAACTCAGAAGCAACATAACAACTAGGAAGCTCATAAGTGCACTAAATAATATATTTATATAGTTAGCAGCTGAGAAATAATACAGTGTATAAATGTTTTCATAAAAGATATTGAACACAAGTTAACAAAATGAAGTTTTTGATATATGAAGACAACAGTAATTCTATGGACAGCATTATTAACTTTAGAATATAATTAAAAATGAAGACACTCTTTATTTATGAATACTGATTCTGGGTTCAGGGGACTAGCTTAGTGGTAGAGCATGTGTTTAACAAGCATGAAGCCCTGGGTTCAATCACCAGCACACACCCCACACAAATAATGGTCCCTATAGAATGAAAAAATTAACTTTCTCTATATTAAAGGGCTATGTATCTATAAGGAAATATGAAATCTTGAATGTGGTCAATTTTTTAAAGTTAAATAATAACATATTGAATAGAGTTGATAGTCGGATGGGCTTTATGCTATATGGCAAGAGGGTAAGAGGTATGGCAGAAGGCTAAAGAAGAAAAACTCTGCTTCAAGTTGGTGACTAGAAAAAACCTACAATGGATCTTTTAAAGTGTAAGTTTTAATGTAAAAAGCAAACAGGTCACTGAAAGTGTGTAGGGTTAACTGAAAACAAGTTATTTACTCCATTATTATCATATTCATCAAACACATTTATAGTGTTCACTATGTTCCAGGCACTGCTACACGCATCTTGAAATTCTATGACAACTCAGGATAAACACAGGATTACTATTTTCATTTTACAGATCAGGAAACAAAAGACAGAGACATTAAGCAATGTTTTCAAGATCCCCAATTCAACTCACTCAGTATACAACCTGGGCTCTAAAACCATTAAGCTCACTTGATTTTAAAACAGATCAGGGATAACCTGGATTTCTTCAAAGCAAGAGACAAAGTCTTTCAAAATGCCCTTCAGTATAAGGAACAGAAATATAGTTGGGTAATATTATTTCTGAGTGTGAAACTGGCAGAGGAATGTTACATACTAAACATTTTGGTATCTATCAAACAGTCACTGATATCTAATGTTTCTTGAATATATACATAACAGATTCATGATATAAAATATTGCAAAGGCTAAAAGAATACACTATAATAAAAATGAAATAAAATAAATGTACAATCTTGCATTTAAGTTAATTCTACAAGGAGTAAAGAGCTGAATTAAAAACTTTAAAAAACTAGAAGAAAATATAAGTGAACATAGCTCAGAGCTAGGAGTAGATAATAAATCTCTGAGCATGGAACAACAACAAACAATTCAAAAGAGAGACTATTCACATGTACCCAAGGCAAAAATAAACTAAAAGGAAAATGATAAATTGGGAAAATCATATGGTAGATTAATAATTAATATTATTAATATGCAATTGGGTTTTTATCATTTAGAAGAAAAATAATAACATTTCAGTTAGTTGTTAAGTAAATGATATATTAAGCAATTAACCACAAGATGGTCAAAAGAAATGCTGGATGACAATATTAACTACAGTAATTAATCAGGTTTTATATTAAGATAGATGATCTGCAAGGCTTCTCTATTTTAAATTCTATCACTCTTTGTGTTAAAAATAAATAAACAAAAGCAAAGTTTTAGACATTCTATGTCCAGACAGACAAGAAAAAAAATCCAAGTGTTGCATATTTAATAAATTCCACACAAAAGAAAGTTGATAATAGTAACCAGCTGTTCCTTTCTTTCCACTGAAGAGAAAATGAGTAAAAACAAAACTGCAGCATTAAAGATTTAAACTAGAATTAAAGAAAACTCACTTGACATGAGAGGATGTTTCGAAGTAGGATGCATTTAGATTGTTCCTGAATATTTGGATAAGTTCCAGAGGGGGAAATTTCAAAAATAAAACTGATAGAATATCTGTGGATATTTCTTTGGGAATCTGTCATTCTAGTCTGAAGGAAGCTTACATGCAATCTTAACCAAAGGACAGAGAATACATGGGAATTAGTTTATATTTAAGATATTCCAATTACCTGTTTATTCATGAAGATAACTTTAAAACTTTACCACAATTTAATGACCTTCCAAACGTAATTGCCATGACTTGGCATACAAAATGCTATAGTCAGGCAAGTAGTACAAGTCTTTTACAGAGTTTGACTTAATCCCTTTTTATAATTAGTATAGGCAGTGATTAACATTTGTAATATGTATTTCAGTAGATAATAGTATTTATTCTATATGCCTTACTGTATACCAGGCTGTGTGCTAAGCACCTTACATAGTAGGGATTCCTTTTAATTCTAGCAGCAACCACACAAGGTGTGTATTTTCATCCTCATTTGCTGATGATAAACTAATGAATCTGAGGATATAAGTAACTTTCATGGTCAAAAAACTCCCCTATCATCTCCATTTATTTGTTCAATTGGTTTAATTTCACCTTGAACCACATGCTCTGGGCCTACTTAGGTTTTCAGCTGAAGCTGTGGTGGACAGTTCCTATGCAGTCTTGGATACTGTTGAATTTCACTTCAAGCTCAGCTTTCCCCACTTTCTTTGGTTTTCTGCCTCTAGTAGTTTTTCCTGAAGTCAATAAATTTATTTAGCCATGGGAAGGCAGCCTAAAAGGATGGGAGGAGTTAATTAATGTTCCTAAGAGAAATTCTCCAGAAAAGAGTGACAAGTTAGTGGATTGAGGTGTCAGCTTCCTGGCTTACAGAGGAAGGACTCCAAGGAGATTTCCACAGGGTTCTAAGAGGTCTCCAATAGAATTCAGTCCCAGTTGCCTACAATAATAAGTGGCTCAAAAATGCACCTTTTAGTTAGTGTCTCCTTATTTCCTAATATATTCTCCCCATTCCTCCCTCCTGTATCCCAAGACCCCTCCCAAATGACCTGTCCTCAAGTGATTATTTTGGATTTTGTTTCAAGAGAATCCAAGGGAAGACTATCTGTATGGGCCCTTGTGCCAATTTGTGCAGTTCTATGATCTGGTTCTTCAGTTATCCTCTTACTCTAAACACTCTCACCACCTTTCTGAAAGAATCAACCCCAACAAATTCAAATGTCAAAGTTATTTTTTGTTCCTAGGTCTTTAACTATTCCTAGAGAAAATTATATTTGTATTTTTGCAAATTTATGATCACCAACCTCATCTTACATCCTTAAACTATACTGTTTTCCTCAAATTCTTGGTATTATGACTTCTGTTCTTGCTCTCAGATAACTTTGCTTCCTATTGGGAAAACACAAGCTATCATGAATGCCTTCTACCAATGCAATGAAATCTACAAATTCACTTATA